TTTTAATTAAACTTAAAAAATTTAAGTTTTATATTGAGCCAAAAAGCGTTCAGAGACTTTTGGCGGGGGTCTGTATTAGGTAAATGCATTATGAATTGATACAAAAAATTGATCATTTCTCTCTAAATGCCAAAACTAAAATACTTTTTTTATCCATAAACCAGCTTTACCTGTAATTGCAGTCAAGTACATATTTTTTCACAAGCACAAACTCACATATATAAAAACTATGTCTTCATAACTTTCTATACCTTCCTCTCTAAGCTCAATAATGAAAGAAATTTTCACTAGAACAATGTTGAACGTGGTTAAGGATTTTAATACAAAGGAACTTATCGATTATTTAGAAAGGAAAAACTTAAAACTTGATAAAGATAATATTAAAATTCTTCGTAAAGAGAAAATTTCTGGTCTTGCCTTCCTTGAGTTGATAGAAGAAAAATTTCGTAGTATTGGGTTAGCATTAGGATCAGCAACAATACTTGTAAATTTATCAAAGGTTTTGGGCAAAAAATAAGAAACTATTTCTCGTTTAAAACTTTTGACAACCTGAAAAAAATGTTACGTAAAAATAAGGCCAATGAGGAAGATATTACAAACATCAAGCAGTTTACTTCCAATAGGTAATTAATTATTTTTTGAAACTGACTAGATAACTATATTAATTTTATTTTTCTCTATAGTCTTTGAGGAGATTAGTGATGATGATAAAGCATTCGAACACTGTATGGGAGACATTTTCTTAAAACTTTTAAATGTGAAGACCATGACTGATACTAACGAGGTGACGTACTGTGAATTTATTTCAGCTATATTACATGTATCAATTGCTATCACCAAAAAACTCACCTCTCAAAATATATTCATAGTTTTACAGAAAGACGTTTTCGGTGAAGATGCTACTGATCAAGTAGACTGCGCGATCAAAAGTCTAGAGGATCTTTTTTGCATCACTAAAGGAAAACCACAAAATATTAAAATTGAATATGCGCAGGTAGGCCTACTATCCACATTTCGTTTTCTAACATATTAGAGATATTATGATGATTTATCTCTTAAAATCTAGCATAACTTGAAAGCGCATTTCAGACAAATAAAAAGAAACAAATTGCAAATCAAGCATTCAGAAATGACTATTTCGACTATATCTATAGTATTATGACTACAAGTACAGAGTGATATTTTACCATATATACTTCTGATGGTATATACTTTACGAGTGAAAGTGAATATCAAATTAATCTTACAAAATTCACTGTTAAAGAAAATTCTGAGCTACTTTGAAATAACGTGAAAAGAGTAATAAGTATAATTATTGAGTTGTTGAAGAATCAGATTAGTGTAGATAGTTCTCTATCTAGCAAGAGGGCTAGGATCAAAAAAATTATCAAAAAATAATATGTATTTCAGGTTACATTTTGAATATTTGTATTTATTTGCATGTATTAATAAAAAATTTCAGCCAGGGCATTCCGGTCAAAAAACACATTTTTTTATTTTGAATGCTTATATACATTGTATTAGTTATATATAGATCATGTCATCTGAGCTTGAATTATTGAAACAGCGTATCACTGAACTTGAAGCTAAAAACGATAAGCTTGAGGCTGAGAATGCAGAGTTTAGGAAGGAGAATACTGGAATCTGCAATCTTAGAATCAAGCTCTCAATGTCTGATGCTAAAATAGTTGAACTTAAGCGCAGGAATGCTGAATTTCTAAGAGCGAATAAGGAATATAATGAAAGGCGTAATACTGAAAATACTAAACTTAGGGTTAGAATCGAGAAGATAAAATCTGACTTAGAAGATAGAATTACAAAAGTGGAACAGAAGCAGACTCTGCAAAGCACCTTAATGGTAAATAATAATTCTTCTAATAACAATTCACTTAGCTTCAATTTAGTTGCAGTACTAGAGACCATAACAGTACCTACCAACTCAGTGAAACGCCTTAACAGCAAATTGTTGAAAGAGAAAGATATGGATAGTTTCTTGTTTGAGGTCCATAAGAAAATCATTAGTAGTGAAATAAAGCAATGCAATAAGAAGAAGAAATTTCTACGTGAGTCAGCTAAAAATCAAGTCCATTTGAAATTAACATATGATAAAAAAACTGTTACTAATGATAACGATCAAGATTTGAAATTATCACTTAGCATAGGCGATAATATCTCTGCTCTATCATCCATTGAGGATAACTTATCATGCAATACAAAAATGATCACTTGTACCGATAGTGAGGATGCCACATCTGATGAAATGTCTAGGCTGATTTCTATAAACTGCTTGATAAAAATCAAGTCACTAAGCAAACTTTGAAGCATGAACTTTCTAGGCCTATTTCTTCAGTGACATCAGTTAAACTACATGATGAGTCTATCTTAAACAACACAATTGAGGGCTCTATGTAAAGATTAGCTTATTGGATTGATAAGGCTATGAGAATGGGTCTAAAAAAAATCTTATGCTTGTATCATTATTTCTCAAGTTCGAAGAAAAAGTAAAAAATATTATAGCTGATGACAAGACTAAAGATAAGACAACAAGATTAATGATATACAAAGATATGTTGCAGTATTTACTTAATGTCACTCTGGGTAATTTGCGGATCTGAACACATAGAGCTAAAAATATTCTTATACTGTTTGAGGAAAAAGGGGTTGGGATAGATAAAATTAAGTTAGTCACTTGTAGCGCAAGTGATATTTCTAGATTAAACAATACTCAAATTCAAAATATTATAGATTATGTGAATGATTAGGTTCATAAAACCGTTACCAATAGTAACAATCAGAGTCATGTGACTGAAATTTCTGAAACATTATGTTCCAGAAAAAATTTACCTAAGAATATTTCTGCAAAAACTAAGAATGATCAGATAAGTGTATCTATTTCTTTAACTTATAACTCTAATTCTTCAAGTAATTTCTCTAGGGCTGGACCAGCATGAATGATTTCACCAACCACACCTCAAGCAAGTGTATCACCCGTATCAATTCCTAGGACTAATCCAACTTATGACCACTTCTATTTTCACAATAAGACATTGGAACAATATTCTACTTTATATAAAGAATTTAGTAGTGAAAATTTTGATTATTATGGCATTACCGATGAGACATCGTGCCCATTATGCGAGTTAGGCTATGATGATGAGAAAGGTATAGAAGGTAAATATAAAGTCAGATCCTATTTTATTAAATATAAATAGCATGAAATTGAGATAGTTGCATAATCTCATTATTTTATAATATATTCTATTTGCTCACGCTTCATTGTGTGATATTTTTTAGGGCTAATTATGTCAACTATTAGTCTATTACATAATTTAAATTGATTTGCAATCATAGAAAAAGGAAATATGAGCAAGTCTGTTAAAATACTAACCACCGATTATCTGAATTGGCATGCCAAATTAAGTGGGTTACCAAACATTTTGACAGATAAGACTTGTATCAAATTATACAAAAGATATAAAAAAGAAACTGGAAATGAGCCATGGCAAGCCGTGATAAATATGTTAGCAGAATCTCAAGCCTCTGATTTCAAGCCTATCACTTTCGAAGCCAAATCTAATCCAGAATTAATTATCAAATTCGTCTTAAAGCATTTCCCATACTAGAAATTCTGAGATAATTTTAGAGAGATTGATAATTATAATTTTACATTACCTCAGCCATGGAGCTCACCATGTCCTATTTGCAATGGAATACATGGGAATTATGGATTACATGGCGAATGGTATAAAAATGAAATGGAATATTGTCTTGCTTCACTTCAAGCAATAAACTCAAGTTCGCTATTGTAGCATAAAGCTTATTATGTATAGCGAACTAGTCTTAAACTTGTATTTATTTTTTTCATTGCTCATTAAAATACCGTGAAGAATCTTCACGCATATCACCTGATATGTAAAAAGTAGACTTACTAGACTAGTACCGTATAGCGCTGCATACAGTATCCTCTAGCAATAGTATTCCCCTTAAGTAGTATCGGGTATTATTCAACTTTAAATTCAGGTGTTTTTGAAAAATACTCTGATACTAATCAAAATTCGATTTTGAAAAGTATCCCCGGTACTAATCAAAATCTGATTTTGAGAAGTATCTCTGGTACTAATCAAGATCCAGCAACATGTATACTTTATTTATATCAATTTAAATAAATAATAAAAATACTCATAAAATTTCAATTAAATTTATTAACGAATCATAATATTATTACACAAATAAAGCCACTCATTATTTCTATACGTTAACGTAATTTGTTTCTTGTTCATAGTAACTGTTAAATTCTTTATTATATCTATCTTCTTCTTCTTCATATCTATTCTCTTCCTCATCCTTCACATTCTCTTCATCCTCTTCATCCTCTTCGCCCTCTTCATCCCCTTCATCCCCTTCATTCTCATAATCCTTATCATATTCATCCGATTCATCTTCCAATTTATCATTTAATTGATTTGTTTGCTCAAGACGATTATAATTAAAAATCCAGTCATCTTCAGTTCCATCGCGTTTATTAGAGATGCCACAGCATTTAAAAGATCACCTAATCACATTAACATCAACTGCATTCCATGAATCTTTAACCCAATTTGCTACAGTTTCGTAAGAAGGCCTTTTAAATTTACCGGTTGGTGTTAACTCTTTTACAGTTTCTGCCATCCACTCATTATAGTTTCGTCGCATCTATAAAGATGAAAATAATAAAAAATTTAATAATTTTTTTTTTTAAAATATAATTATACTAGAAATCAAAGGAAGTAGAGGAAATTAAAGGATAATTATGTAGAAATCAGAGGGGAATGATGTAGAAATCGGAGGGTAATTATGAAAGGAATTGAAGAGTAATGGTGAAAGGAATCAGAGGGTAATAACAAAGGGAATTGAAAGGTAATGATGAAGGAAATTGAAGGGTAATAATAAAGGGAATTGGAGGGTAATAACAAAGGGAATTGGAAAGTAATAATAAAGGAAATCGAAGGGTAATAATGAAGGAAATTGAAGGATGATAATCGAAGGTAATGGTAAAAGAATCAAATATTTTTAATTTAATAAATTAATTACCTTTGTTTTAAATGATTTATTTATTGAAACATCTAAGGGTTGTAAACGAGATGTTAACTCTCCAGGAATAATTGCAATATTAGTATTTTTTTCACTAAAACGTCTTTTAACAGAATCAACAATATGTGCAGAAAATGAATCCAAAACCAATAATGACTGTGGATTGGAAAATCTATCACGCTTAGTCCAAACATTTTTGATCCAATAAAGCATCTCATTTTTCTTCATCCATCCTGTTGGATTTGCTCGAATAATAACTTCTAAAGGAAAATTTCCTCGTGAAATATTTTTGAGTTTAAAAATTATAAGTGGAGGAAGTTTTGTTCCATCTGCCAAATAGCTTAAAACTACTGTAAAGTTAGTTTTTTCGTATCCTGTTATACAAATGCTAACTGATTGTGCTCCCAATTCATCAATAGTAGTATTACTTGGCAAATCAAAGAATACTGGAGTTTCATCCATATTACCAATTAATGTTAAAGGATAATCATGTTGTATACGTCGATACATAATAAATGCTAAAAATTCTTGTTGCTTTTTGATTAAATCATCAGGTAAACGTTATGCAATAGTAGTACGACGATGATTACTGAAATTATTTCGACTCATAAAACAATCTAACCATTTATTACTAAAAGCAAAAAACTCAATACCAGGACATATAACTCGCCATTGTTGTTGTTGAGCAAATGCTTTGGCTTTTACTTGAACCATGCTTCACGAAACTGCATATTGATTTTTCTTTATTCTTTTACCCAAGTAACTAAAGTAGTTTCTAAAGCAGGATATTTTGGAGATGCACTTCTATTTAAACGTTTTAAATCTGGTTGTGCTTTAAGTAACTGTGGTTTCTTAGTTATCCAATCTTTAAGTTGTTTTGTTTGAATATTAAACTTGGCTGCTGTTTTATTTTTACTATGACTATTTTCGTGATACATAATGATTGCAATTTTTTCGCGCGCATTCCATTGCCTTCATTTTTTTTCTGTTACTGTTGAACGATTGCTTCTTTTATGTGCACGAGGATCCATTGTATAAAAGAAATGAAAAAAACAAAAGTTTATATTATAATAATAAAAAAAGAACAAAAAAAAATTGAAAAAATAAACGCAAAGTTGAACGCGAAGAAAAAAATTGACGCGAATGAATTTCACATCATTTTAATCTGATTTTAAATAATTATTACAATAAATTAAATTTATTAAATTTTTACATTTATTGATATTAAATGTAAAATTTCTTATTTTCATTAAAAATTTTAACGAAACCAGGAAAGCTCTTTGATTATTAATTTTATTATCATATGATAAAAGCTCTTTAATTATCTAATTTTATTATCACATGATTAATATCCCCCTTTTAATGTATCCCCTTTTTATAGTATCTCCCTCCTTATATAATACCCTCCAGGATACTATTTAATCTAAGCTGGGTTTCTTGAATAATACCAGGGGTACTGTATGCGACGCTATATGGTAATTTTATTGCTATCGAAACATGTTTCCTCACCTTCTACCCAAAAAGTGCCAATCCATGATTCATCAAACTCATCTGGTTCAGCATCTGATGGCTCTAATACTACTTCTTCAGAACCTTTTGCTTACTTCTAATGCTTATTGATGGCTTTTCAAGACTGTCTAGTTCGTTTATTTGATTTTGGCATTCTAATTTTATTAATTGAAATATAAGAAAAGAAATAAAATTATTGTAAATGATGGTAAAATAACACGTTTAACTACGAACACATGACTATAGTTTGTTCACATGACTATAGTTTGATCACGTGACTATAATTTTGACTAATAAAATTGCTAATTTAATATGGAAATGATCAGTAAAATTTTAGCGGTGGCTTAGCCATTTGATACAACTAAGCCGTTTGCACCATATATAGTAAAATAATTATTCTTTTAAAAAAAGTTAGTTGGACAGATGGATTACATTTATCAGTAGGTAAAAAATGTGTCAAAAGATTTATAAAACTTTTGTAATAGATCAATTCATAATTTAAGAAATTTGCAGATCATAGATATCATTTATTAAATTTATTTATAGAATTATTAACATATAAATAGAACTAATACTATAACTGATACTATCTTATTACATATTATAAGTGTGAAAAGATTGCATATAAAAATTAGATAAGCTAGTAAATTCTTTAAAACTTAGTCTTACGTAATCTTAAACACAAAATTTCCTTTAGAATTTATTAATAAAACATTTATATAAGCTAATAGAAATAATTATAAAATATATAATATATCTTAATAAGTTAATAATTCAATAAATGAATTACATAAATCATTAGAATCAATAAAAAAGTAGATGATTATAAATATATTAATATTAAATAATATCTTCCAAAACTAAAAATGCAAAAATATCAATTTATTAAAAACTTAAAATTGATACTTCTTATAGGTATTTATCAGTATTATACTGGTAATTATCTTAAAATTATGACTTTTATTTGAAAAGTATCAATTGAAATTAATGATTGCTCAGAAACTCAAAATGCATAAATACTATTATCTATACAAGAACTTATGTCTCATAATTTATACATCAAATATAAAAAAATATATAAACATCAGCAGCTAAATAATGTAATATTATAGCTAAGTCATTTGATATTTAGAATTTTAGATTAAATTTAATATTTCATATTTAAATTTTATTTATAAAAATAATTTATATAATATTATAACTAATACAAATAATTAATTACATGTCAATATACTAATACCTTTCTAATTTAAGTATTAATTTTGCTGTTCTTTTTATCAACTTTGTATTTTATACAATTATAAATATTATTTCTTTTACCTAAATAATAACTACACTTTTTAAATAATGAAGGGTATATTTCATAGTATTTTTTCTATTAATAATGTATCTTTTTAGAGGTCAGCCTTTTGATTTATATTATTCTGAATTAGAAATATTACAATTATCTTTCAAATTACTTAAAGGAGTTTAGTTTATTGATTGAACTTCAATAGATAAATTATGAATTTCTTTTAAACTAAACTTAATACTATTATAATACTTTATATTAAGTTGTATAAGTAAATCAAAAAGTTCTGCTATAGTATATTTTGATATTGCAATTTAAACATTTATTTTTGCTAATAATATTGTATTATTAAATTGAATTTTCTTGCTAATCTTCTTATTAATAATTGATATATAAAGATTAATAAGTCTAATTTGTTTAATATAATGCAAATAAAATAGTTATATAATCTTTACTCTTTGAGTAATAATAATATTTATTTTAGATGAAATTGATTTAAGCTAATAAGTATAAATAAATGAAATATAAAATATTACTTTAGTTAACTGAAGAAAAACACAATATTGATGCCTATATAGCATATTTTGATTTATAATATTTATACAAATATAAATTGAAGTTAAATCTTTAAAAATTATAATGTAAAATAATATAGTAGGTAAAATTAAAATTATAGCAATATAATGAATTTCTTATCTTTTAAAACATAGATATAAATTAATTATAAAACATTATAGAAAAATTATAATATTTTAAACTCTAATGATCATAAAAAGATAAAATAAAGTTTATTAGATTTGTCATTTTAAGATGTATCTAATGATAGTATTTTTAAATTTTTCAAATTAATAATTATTAATATATATCAATTTTTTAATTTTTTAATTTTTTAAAATAATTTATTATCTAATAATTACAAGAAAATAAACTCTTTTCACTGATCTTTTTAACCAAATGTCTCTAATAACTAGAAGTCAAAATACATATGGAAAAAAAACCTGAACCTTACAATAAAAATATTTTAAACTCTTTAGATAATAGTAAAG